TGCTGAAGAAAACTCAATTAAGAAGCAAAAGACTTGAGTAGTTTTTTTGTTGTTTAGGGTGTGTGATGAACAGAAGGAATGCAGTGCAAGAGGTCAGTTCTCTCTGTTTTGCATTTTGCTAAGTGCATTTTACACCACGGTCCCAGCAATACTCCTGCACTACCCTTGTCCTTTTCCACTGCAGAAACCGTTAAGTCATAAAGCCAGGGCCACAAGGGCAGATCCCCTTCACCTTTATCCATGGAGAACTACTCTGAGGGGGAACCATGACTTCGTAATTCATCCTAGAGTAAGATGTCTTTATACTCCATGTCTTTCTGGTTACTCAGTGAGACAAATAAAACCTTCCTTGATAATGGAAAAAAAATAAAACTTTTCCAGCTCCTGTCTACATAAAGTCACCATCAAAGGATGAGTCAGTTTAGCTAACATCCCTAAGAAACATTTGCTATCTACTGGATTGAGTAAAATGGTGATAATTAGCACCAAACATTCCAGGCCTTACAGATCTCCTTTCATGAAGATATCATAAACATATGACTGAAGATTCTCCGGAAACAGATGGCTCTAGAATCTCTTGAGGAAAACTGCATTCAAAAGGCTGTACACACACATTGTCCACCATATGAATGAAACGAAAGATAACAATACCAAAAAGAAATAATTAAAAAAAAGCAGCATTTGAGCAAGCTTATTTGTAGCCAGAGTAACTATATTGTAACATGGAAAATCAGTCAGTAGACTGATGCCAGGCTTATGCCAGCTGAAAAAAAACCAAACAAATTCCAAAAAAAAGTTTTCATCTACTTAAATTAATTTAGAATCAAACCCAGAACTGTTGTTTTCTTCTCCCTCCTCCCTTCTCCTCTCTCTCATGCCTGCCTGTTTATTCTCCATTCTGTCTTTACTACTCTGCTTTGCTCTCAGAACACAAACTGCAGTGTTCTTGTCTGACAAACACCTCTGTGAGGTTACAGCACACCTTCTGTTCCTTCTGCCCGCTGACTGCTTCTGACTGTTAAAAATGGCTAGCTGTGCTTCTTTACTCTTTTAAACTATTTCAAAAAGTTAGTCTGTTTATCACAAAAAGCAATAGATAATTTGAGCTAGAAGTCCTGGAAAACTGCCTCTTTTAAGATATGGTGAAAAGTGCTGTGCTCATGCTGACTGCAAGGGAAGTTAACAGCTTTGTTGATAGAGGTTTTAGTTCAGTCTATCTTATTAACAGCTAAACCTGGGTCAAGTTCTTAGGCATTAGCTGGGAGAATTCTGGCTCACTGCCTGTAATTCGATTATTTGTCCCTGAGTATACAACAGCACTAGTATCTTCATCTGAAAGAGGGATTTATTTTCATTCCATTTAATATCAGCACAAAAACTTCCTCTTCTAGAAGAACTGGCCATACCCTATTTCCTTATAGAACCAGAACCCGTGGTCCACAGAAGGGCCCTTGAAGACCCTGAAAACATTCGGACTACACAGTTCTGCTTCATGCCTAGGGACACCAGGAAGCCTGTACAGTGAGTTTTCATACTTTGTGCTGACAGAGCTATGTCCTGTGGCAGCTTTGCAACACCCTGCACACAAGAGATCTCGATGGGAAGATATAGCACCCAAAATCTCACCCAAGGACGGATGCCAGCGTCGTATTGCAGGGTTTGCTGCTCCATCTAGTTCCTCCAGGAGATGCGGAAGATAGAAGAGCATAATTCTCTTTGTCATTTGCTTTTCCTACCTCTTCAATGAATGGGTTATTTACATTAGCTGTGCTCTGAACATGGCTTGGGACCTAGCTTTTTATGCATACTGACCCATGCAAGCGTTTTTTTGTTATACTTTTAGAAGTCAAAGCTAGTCATCAAGTACTGAAATGAAAACAGTTTGGAAGCTCTCTGTTGCTGTGAGGTTCAGCTATCTCTCTTGTTCCCCATCATATTACAAAAAGATGGCCTCATCACTGGTGGAGGGGGTCCCCACGGAGATGAAGAGAGTTGTCTTAAAAAGTTCAATTCTTCACTCTGTGATTTTACTAAACAAGTTGAACATTTTTGTTTTCCAACCACACCAGAGTTCTTGTGTTTGTTTGTACAACAAAGATAACGTACAAATCCATTTCCACAGACTTCAATTTTTGTCCTGTTACTCCCATAGCCCACCTGAATTATTTCTATACGTGACAGAAAAACGCAAGCAAAGTTTTTTTTGAGTTCAGCAGCAACCGAATGGGAAAAAAAGAAAGCACAAAGTTACATCATTACTTTAAAAACGGATTTCTAAGCTAAGCATGGATTGGAATCATTAAGAGGCAGGCTTTATGAATATTGTTCAATATTTTAATCTAAACTGTCTGCATAAACCCTGTAAAGATTTTCTGAGATATAATAGGAATCATTACCTACAAAATGGTTGTATTCTTTCAAGTTACAGTGATCTCTATGAGCAGTCAAAGCATGTGCTTTCCCCTATTCCCTGCATGGCAGATAGTGTCAAAATCTTTCAGAGTCTATTCCTACCTGTGATACCCCAGACAGGGAAAGTTCTGAATTCTCAAAGTGAAATTCAAATTAGGATTTTCAGAAACCAGGCAGGGCAGAAGTTTCAGCACAAGGCCTACCTGTGTATTACATGAAGCTGGGATGTGACTGGACTGTAGTTTAGGGAACTTGCAGGACTCTCTCTTCTGACTGTCATTTCCCAATGAAAAATTAATTTGAATCAGTTTAAATTTAAAACATCTGTGTTATCTGGATGCAGCATACAGGAAGACAGTAATAAAGGTACAAGAAAACTCTGCTCCTCACAATAGAAGAGGGACAGGAAGCCCAGAAATGAGAGTCAAATAAAACATTGTGCTGTTGAAGAAATATTACTACCATAAAAGACACCCCACCCCTCACAGTAGCCTTTTTCCTGTGCTGAAACTTATGTTCTATATTGCATCATTATGGTTATTCTCACTGCTATTTATTAACTTTTTACACTCGGTCTTCAGTTTAAAAGCTTGTTGCTGTTGCAGAAAAAGCACTTAATACGTGCAAAAGTTTAATGAAAAATCATGAACCTTTTCCCAAATTAAGAACACAACAAGCACTTTCATTTATATACTGCACTAACAATTAAAAACATGAGAAACATATAAAACTTATCAACTTACTACTTACTGCAGTAGTTAGAGCATCACACAGATCTGATTTGGTTTTATACTGTATTTAAGAAGCTTACAATGGAGGATCATTATCCTTCTCAGACACCAGAATCTGCCCTTGCATACTATTCTATTTCTTTTAACTTTGGCTGAATAGCAATAATGCATATGCATTATATATTGCCAAGCATTCCTTTGCACTATACATATGAAAATGCAATCATTTCTAAAGGAGTCTGAAAATGTCCCTGGTGAGAAACCTAGATGTAAACTTTCATGATTCTTTTTTTACTGTAATCAAAACCAGCAAAAGTCATTTTTTTGCATGAGGATACAGCTCAGAAGTTTGTTTCCTCCCTATCACACCACCACCTCACAGGACAGCTAACCCAAAGGGCTGAGGAACACTAGAAAGATAATTCTTTGCTACACACCTCACTAAATGGAATCATCAGGAAAAAACTGTCAGACTTTTGACCTTTTGACCTCAGGAATGCAACATGACTGCTCATTCCTGTCATATTTAGTGACAGTCTTTTCTCTATTTACATTCCCACGTTTGCCTTAATAATAAAAGTAACTGTGCTTTTATTTCAATAAACTCTAAATCCTTCAAGTCAGGAGGGCTTCTGGTACATCCATCTGAGATTCAAAGGCTGCCTTGGCTTGAAATAGACTTTTGATTGTTAAAAACCTGCGTCTTGGATCATGCTGAAATTTCTCCCTTAAGAGGAGCAAACATTGAGGCTGGATATGCAGCTGCATACAGATTGGTAGCAGCAGTGTCTGTCACTCACCTTTATACCTGGAGGGCCTCTTCGACCTGCTGTGCCCTAGGAAGGAGTGGCATGAGAGATTACATTCAGAACACTAAGCAATATGTGAAACAATAGCTTATAAAAATACATTATTCATACAATCAGATAAAATACAGCTTACAGAAAGCAGAGATTATTTTCAAAGAGAGGTTTAAAGTAAAAATGAGAAAAGAGTGGATTTGGGAAATTGTTACTCAAGTAAGCCTTAAAAAAAAGGCTTTAGATCCTTAGTGAGTGCAGAGGGAAGGCATCTCAGCAGAATTCTTGGCTAAAATAAACGGAACAAGAGCCTTCTTCTCTGTCTCTGAGGTAAGAGGTCTGCACCAGTTCGCACTGCACACTGCTCAGCAGCACTTGTGAATGTTACTTTTAAGCCTCACATTAAGGCTTTTAGGCTGCTTCTGCAGCCCAGCTGAACAGTGATCATCACTGCAGACATTTGCATTAGGAATCTTCTGACAGACTAGAAGAGGTGCCTTCATAGGTTCCAGTCTCCAGTGATTTAAAAAGTGCAGCACAGCTGCCAGTTAGTTTTTATATTGGCTTGAATAGCCAGATAGAACTTGCAGTCAGAGGAAGGAAAGAGGGATAGATTTATGTATGGTGAAATTATGAAGCAATTAAGGCCCCATAGAAAAGGCTGCACTAGGTTTAAGGCTTTTGACTTCACATGACTCAGACTTGAAATTAAGAGGACAGCAAATTCCTGATATAAAAACCAACCAACCAACCAAACAAACAAAAAACTCCACCAAAAAACCCAGCACATTGCAATACACACAAATTACTACATTTGAAGCCAAACACGTTTCTCTATGAAAATTTTAGAAATTTTTTCTTCCCTCTCATTTCAGGAGTTTTAACTGTGGGATAAAAGAAGAAGAGAAAAATTGTTTTCTTCAGTGGCAACTCCACTGTATCTTGGATAAGTTATGCCCACCCTGTATTGATTACTATTCTTACATTGGGACCAGCATCACCCTGCTCCCCTTGGAGTCCATGTGGTCCTGGGTCTCCCTGCAAAACAAAGTAATGAACAAGATCTGTAAATACTGTTCCTGATTCTTGTTTTCTTGTCCACATTCTTCTTTATATGATTCTTCTTTGCTGTTTCTCCTAAGTAATTTCATTGTGATCATCTGTATCATGCTAAATGCTGATTCTTGTTTTCTGTAAATCATTTACAATAAAAATAAAATAAAAAACCAGAGAGATCATGCTTGCATTGGATTTCCAATCCAACAGCTGCTAACATGGTCAACTGATACGTGGTCAAGGCTGTTGTGAAATTATTTTTGTTGACTTCATTCTTTCAGTTAGACTTGAGAAAGTTTGATGAGGTTTGCTGCCAAGAAGCCATCATAACACAAAGCGTGACCCTCACATTTTTTCTACTACTTTCAGCATACTCTACATACATATACATGCACAGGCATGTGTCTGAACATGTTCACACAACTCTACTTGTTCAAATAGAATCAAACTTCTAAAATAGTGGATTTTTCTCAGATGTTGCTAGTTGTCACCCTTTTAAGCTTTCATCCACCACCACTTATATACTACTATCCAGTTACTTACTATCTTTGCTTATCTTTCCAAAGTGCAATGGTAAAATGGGCTGTGTTATTCTGTTATGCTTCTTTTCATATAATATTACACAAACACCTTGTAAAAATTCAGACATCACTATACAAGCACATAGTCAAGCTCTTATATCATAGATACAGGTCAAAATGGAGTTTATCCACCATGCTGAGGAAATAGCAGTTACATAGTAAAATGAGTAAAGCCTGCTGATACCAAAAGCATTTTTCCCAGCATGGCTTTTTACAGTATCCTTACAGCCTATTACTAGAAACCTCCCAGGTCGGTGATGTAAATGTGTAATAGAATAATATATTTACATTAAATCCATATCTTCCTCTCTATACTCAGCTCTATATCATGAGAATACATCCATAGTCTTTTTTAGCCTTTTTAACTTTTTTTTTTTTACAGTATCAAGCACTTCTCAAAGCTTTCTGTGCTGCAGACATCCACTAAAGGCAAAACACAAAATAAAAGAGCTGCTTAGTCACTGGACAGTAAATTGAACTTAGCAGTTCTCTCTGTCTGAGAACTTACAGTATCTCCCTGTAATATAGAGCTACTTGCTTACCTGCCATGCTGAGTTTCCCTTTTCACCCTTAGGACCAGGAACATTATTGCTAGTCCCAGGATCTCCCTGGAAAAGTTAAGCAGAAAGCTCAGCGTTTGCAGTGAGCACACCTTTATTATTCTGATTACTGAGGCAGGATATGGAAATATGATTAATGAGATTTGTCATTGCAGCCAACAAGTAATACAAAGGCTATTTTAAATGAAGATGCTTGTAAGAACACTATATAGGCAGTTCTGCAAAGTCCACAAGTTCCTTTTGCAAAGAGATGAAAAGAAATATTACTAATGGGCCACAAAGTAAACCCTGAAAATGTGAGGCTGTTCTGGTTGTCTGGATATAGTTAACTGAGTTAAAGTCATGACTCGTTAGCAAGTTTCAGATGTGGTTACACTAGAATGGAGTTCTATTTCGCCACTTAATGCTAGACACAGGTGAAATCCTGATCTCTCAAAAAGGCACATTAACAGGACACCTGATTTCTTTTTATAAGCATTAGAAGCTAGGAGCCAACACTACATTTGACTGTTTGGAACAGAGGTCTTTGAAATACGTGTGAGAAGTTTTAAAGTTGTGATACAAGAAGTGCAGTGTTTCCACTGAAATTTTAGTCCTTGGAGACTGCATTTATATAGGGGCTCTGAAGCATGCAAGGGAAAAAATGTCAGGATAAAGTAGTAACTTGCTTTTGCATCATTATAAGTTGCTAACCAAGAGTCAGTGCATAGGGTTGTTCAAGTGATCCAGAAATTCTTCTGTAGGGTGGGAACCACCAGTGAGGACTAAATAGCTCCAAAATGAGTTATGTTGCCCATTTTAAAAACAAACAAAACAAAAATGCAAAGAATGAGCAGGAGACTTGAGGCTTAAAAGTCTACTTCCAAACACATCAGCCCATCTGCATCTAAAGAGTTCAGGACTCCTGAAACACACCATACTTCTTGCAGAGTACTGCACCATCTATGATAGGGAAAAAGTCTTAAAATCACATATATTTCAGGCAGGTCCATCACAAAATCCAGGCACAAATCAGTGCAATCCAGTAAAAATGAAGGCACATACTTACATGATCTCCTCTTAGACCAGATTCTCCTCGTTCACCTGGTTCTCCTCTGGGGCCTTTTCTGCCCTAAATTCATAAAAAGAGAACAAGCAATTCAGGTTCAGGTAGAAACAGTATTTGTGGTAGAGGAAGGCCAGGTAAGAGAACAAAGATTTGTTTAAGTCAATGGGGTTACATTGATTTACAGCAGAAGCCACGTAATATTAGAGAACAGGAAGCTATTAATAACAACTCACAGACATTACAGATGGCATTACACTTTGGAAAGACGTTTGCATAAAATCTAAACATTACTATAAAGGATACTTCACCCGTTTTCCTGTGTTGCCTTTTTCTCCAGAAGGTCCGGGAAATCCATGTTCTCCCTAGATGCACAAAGGGGGAAGAAAGAAGAAAAAATGACTGGTTGTTCTTTCTGATAACTGTGGTTTCCAAATTTTGTCTGGCAGAACTCAATTTCAGTCAGAGATGTAACTCTAAACACTAGAATTTCTGTTCAGGTTTAAAGCCCATTCAAAGGCACAAAAAACTGTACTTTTGAACTCTGAGGTAGGGATCTTTAATTGCACTGCACATTTAAAACAATGATTACCTGCTCTCCATCAGTGCCATCAAATCCACTCTCACCATATTCACCCTGCAGCAATAAGCAAAAAAAACCCCTATTAGCATCAGTTCACTTGCCTCTTTGACCAAGGGAAGAAGTATTCACCCTGCTTTTGGGAACTTGAAGAAGAATATTGGGTTTCAATGGCTAGCAAGAATAATTAAGAATATTAATTATAAATAGGAATTAATAATTCAGATTTTTAATGTATTAACTTTTAAAACCAATTATAGTTAAGAACATTTAATAAGAGCAATGGTTGTTAAAGCTATAGATCTTCATCAGGATTTAAATTCTGCTTTTCCGTTTGTTAGCTTTCAAATCTTTTTTCCAACTGCACCACCTTCAAAATCTAGATATATTCCAAAATATAACACTAATATCTGACCTAACATGCTGATCATCTTGTAATTCTGGTGTCAACCATCATACGTGTTTATACTTTTATTTAATAAAACAGTTTTATACTGTGAACAGTGTATTGAAAAGCTCCCAAGAATAACTATTATAAAAACAATTACCGATGACTGATTTTAGGATTTAGGACTTGATAAAGAAATTTCACTACTGTTTCAGCAATGCGATGCTTGCCACATAACCAGCAGTCACATTCCCATTCAAACACACTCTGCTCCTCTCTTCCCTTTGTCTGCAAAAATGAATCACCATGTTGCAACCATTTATGGAATCTGTTTTCTCACAAAACACCCATCCCAACCTCATGGAGTCTGCAATGGTAAATTGTTGTTCAGATGAAGAGTGATGCTTCTGAATAGAGTTATAACTGTGAGAACCTTATTTCATTTATGTACAGTCCACAATGTTTCAGATCTGGCCAAATAACACACTCAATTTTTAAAGGATATTTTGTAGTGCTGCTTCTGTCTCTCTTGAATGGCATAAAAATGGAATTAACTGTGATGTTTTTATTTTGTAGAAAGAAATGAAATTAGCAGAGACCACTACCCTGAAAGCTGAAAAGACATTCAACAAATCACTGAAAGTAGCACAAGAGCATGTTGTAAATGCTAGTTGAACCAACAGGAATTTCACTCTGATAGAGGCTACAGATACAATTGCTTTGCAGGTTTTGCTGATAAATTGACTTTGCCAAGCCACCTAGCTAAAGTTCCTGCGGAAAATTTCATTCATTTATAACAGTTTTGTATGTACTGCGAGACAAATTAGCTGGCTGTACATTTTGGCCTAAGATTAATGTCACAAACAGGAATTTCTTGAACAAGTATTCCAGAAGAATTCTGAGTACTGAGCAAGCAATCACAACTTTCATTCATCTTAGTTTTTCCCTCACTTATTTCCTACCTCAGAAGACCTGAGCCAAACTTCATAGTATTAAATTTTCATTATTGCCTTTTTACTCCAAGTAGCTGTACTAAAATCCCTTGGAGACTTCAATAAACTGCCTCAACCTTACTAAGTTAGCAGTATTGAACTGCATTTTTATATGCTGAAAGTTTCATATTTTCGTTTAAAAAATAGCTGATATAATGACATAATATAATGAAGACATTCATAAATTCATTGGATTTCAGTGGGGTTTGTACTCCTGATAAGTCCTACTGTACAATTAATCTTGGACAAATCGAAAATCATAAGAAAGCAATCATCACTCCCCCCTTCTATAATTAGATGTCTCAGATATTTCAAATGAGGACAAATTATTTGAGGCAACAGAGCAGAAAATGGAAAAGGAAAGAAAAACACATGGGAGGATTAAAAAAAGTCTGTAGAGAGTAATACTTTAAATAGAGCTGAGGTATCAGAAACACTCTCCAAACTTTCTCACATATACAGCTGCTCAGGTTTGGAAGCAAATATTTTCTGAGTCTTTGAGGCTCCTAAATCTTTTCTAGGAGTGGTTTTGTCATCAAAGCACCCAATACAATTTGAATTTCATTTTAATTGTTCTAGCTTGGAAATTAATATTGTCATTACGATCACTGTCTTCCGAGCGTCATATTTTATTAGTGAATTGGTGACAATATCTCTTTGATGAACAGGTATGTTTGAAAGGTTAAATAAGCAGAGCTGCAAGATCAGCGGATGACAAAAACAGATGAAGAAAAGTTTGGATGTTGAAAAAGTGTCACTAATGATTTGTGAAAATGCTGTCCCAATCTGGAAAACATATTAGTCACAATCTTTTTTCCCCCCTTTCTGCTCTGTTTCCTCAACAATTAGAATATGAGATTCAGCTGACCAGAATTACCACCTTGGCAGATTATTAAAATAGCCAGTAAATAAATTCCTTTCCTCTCAATCAGACTAAATCAACTACAACTGTGACTATGCTAAAAATACAAATAAGACTGCCTGTTTTTAATATTGTGATACCAAACAGCTCACACTTAACTCCACTCTTATACAACCACAGCAAAAGTATATTAAATAATCTGAGGTTTTTACACTGTTTTCCTTCCTTGTTGGTACTTTCATCTTACAAGATAACATGAACTTAAAAGAAAGAACACTGTTCTCAAAGAAAATCGATCACACATGAAAACACATACCTGACTTCCTCTATAGCCTCTGGCGCCCTGAAATTGAAAATAAAGACAGATTAAATTTGGTGAAAGTATTTTTATTGAGCTTGAGAAACAGGGCATAATAGCTTGCTATGCGGAGGCATGCTGGGCTCAGCCCCTACTGTAAATCCCCCTATTGTCCCATATGTCTTCCTGTGGGAAGACAGTATAGCCTTCATTTTCATTCCTGTTCTGTAAAGCTCTATAGCTCTATCTAAGATCAGTCTGGAGCTGGTGGTGGAAGTCATTGGCAAGTTGCTGAGTCAGCAAACTCCTTAGCCATTTGACCATGCTTCGGTTACACCAAGCACCTCTCAAAAGGAGACAGCAAAAATTGTCTGCTGTTCTTACAGCTGAGTCTTGCTGTTCATGAAGACAGCACAGGGATTATTCCTCAGTACAGAAAACAGGTTTGTGGGGCTTGTGGTTTAACCTGGCAGGCAGCTAAGCACCATGCAGCCTTTCACTCACTCCCCGCCTCCCTGGTAGGGTGGGGGAGTGAATCAGAGGAAAAAGGTCAGAACACTCATGGGATGAGATAGGAACAGCTTAATGACTGAAATACATTAAATTAAAGTAATAATAATAACAATGATAAAAAGTATAATAATAACAAGAACAACAATAATAAAACGCAAAGTTATACTCAGCTCACATAGCAGTCGCTGGCTGTGCACTCCCAGTAGTGAACGCCAGATAAGACAACGAACACTGTGAGCACAACAGCTCCAGCAAAAACATGACAGTCTCAATGAGCAGGGGACTAGGCCCTGGGAGCAGAACAATGGGTGAGACCCTCTGGGGATAGCAATCATCAGGGAAACAAAGAAAGCTGTCACCAGCAAACTCTCCAGTTTACAGTGCGCAAGGTGTTTATTATTTGGTATGGTATGAAATACTCCCGTTAGACAGCTTGGGTCAGCTGCCCTGGCTTTCACCCTCCCCAGCTTCTCCACCTGGCTAACTCAAAACTGCTAAAGACCTTAATCACTATAGTAAACTCTCATACCAGTACTGGCCAAAAACTAAAAGAAAGCATCTTATAAACTTCGTTTTCCACTAAATTGAGTACTGTAGTCTTTTCAGAAATGCAGCTCTCCTGAATAAAAAACTGATTCTATGATTCTATGATTCTATCCCAGAGAAACCAGGACAGTGGGAAAGAAAATGAGGAAATGTTTCAAAGTAACATACTTGCCTTATGGCCTCTGGCACCTGGACATCCTCTGTCTCCTTGAGTCCCATTGAAACCAACTGGGCCTCTCTCCCCCTAAGAAACAAAAGAGAATGTTCAAACTCATCCATACAATGATGGCCACTGGTTATGTCATCATATAAGATTAAAGCATGAAAGAATTATATCACCATTCATTGCACTAAGGACACAAATGCAAGCCACATGGAAGTTTTCATATTGGCCATAACAGTACAGTCAATTATTAGTTTGAGTTGCACCTGCTTCTCTGCTCTCACTATCATGCCATGTATTAGACTGCACATCTCTGACTGAAATCTCTGTACTTGAAGGCAGGTCTTTTGGTGGGGTTCTTTAAAACTGAATATTGAATGACATTCCTCTAGTCACTGATCTCTAAAGACTTCTATTCCAGGTTTGTTAGCATAATAGTTCTAAAAAAAAATTGGAAAGAAAGCAGTGTCTCCCAGCAGATCCCCTTAAAATTGCTGCCTAAAAAGATAACCAGAATGAGAACAAATATACAGAAAACATGAGAGTTCCTGTACTACCATGAAAAAGAGAGGACAAACTTGAAGAGCCTAAGATGAGAAGAACAAAGACCATTCTCTTACTTTTCTCATCTTTAAAGAAAACTTTCTCTCTCTAAGCTAGCAAAAAAGCAACATGGATCACATTCCAGATTAAATTAGACAATGGTTCCACAGAACCACACCACAATACGAAAAAACAGAAGTTTAAGCATTGTGGCCAAGTTCCATTTCCTCTGTGAAAGAGTACTACACCATGATAAACCAGAGCTGTCCAGCATTATCTCCTCAACCTCCTTTCCTTGTGGCATCATCTGTAGCCTGTTATCAGCAGTCTACTTTCTGCTGTGTATTTACTACATTCAACTGTTTTGGATGCTTCAAATTCTTATCTTGTGACTGGAAAAGAAATTCAGCCTTTAGCAAGGAAAATTTACAACATGAAACACATTTCCTCACACACAGGAGACTGAGAAAGTTTCTGAAAGTGTGGACATGATTTTTCATTGTTCCCCAGTAAAGAAAAGGAAAACAAAGGGACCAGAAAACTCAGAAACAAGACTTCTGTAATTTATCTGTTCTAGAAAATTATTCTGGATTCTCATGTCAAAAACAGAAAATCAATTTCATACAAAAACAAATTCAAAATCGTTTTCACCCCTTCACCACTTCAAAAAAGACAAGATTTAGAAGTTTTCAAATCAAAATGCTGTGGTGAAAAATTTGGAGCATCCCATTTCAATGTGTTCAAAATGTTTCTCATTTTAAAAAACTCTCAGGGCTTGAACTTCCAATTCCTACTTATATCATGTCATTCATATCTATGAAAGGATGTGAAAATAGTTCTATTCCTGAGTAACACAAATATTTTTAAGTCATTCTGGAAATTACTCATATGGAATGTTATTCTATTTTTCGGGAAATCAGGCCACCTGAAAAAATGGAAACTGCTCCAGTAGTCCCAGCCAGTGATTTCCAAAGAAATTGTAAAACCACCATCACAATGCACTTTCTTGATAAAACAACAGTTTTTTTCCACTACCGTCTTTCTCTCAATAGACTGTAGGCTTACTGCAGGCTGCCTCACCAAAGGCAAATTCAGGCTGAACAGTCAACTGTGAGAACTGGAACTACTCCAATGTGGATTTTACAGTTAAGTACAGAGATAAATCCTTGGCTGGTTCTTGGTTTGCAGGATTCTCACAGATATTTAGGAGTAATATTCATGTAATGGGTACAGTGTTGTAAACCTAGTTCTGCACTTGTGGTGCTAAGGAAATTACGTCTTATTCTTTGCGAGATTTTTGTCTGTTTGTTTCTAGACAGCAAAAGAGGAAGAAATGCTCTTACCGGGTTGGGCTTTGGCTTGTGCACATAATGTTCAAGTTTATGTCAGGAACAGCACACCACAAAGGATTTAAGATCACTAAAACACACTAAAAATTTAGCTTTGTCATCCAGTCATAAGATATTCACTCATGCCAAGAAGGGAAAGGGATGGCCTCTTCCACAAGAACTATAAGCACTAAATCTGGTAGAGTCTGTCATGAAAATGAGTATATGAGTTAGCCATACATAGGTCACATAAGATGCTGCTGTGTGATTCTTTCTAACTAATTCTGTTTCTGCATTAGAAATTATTACTAACTATGGTGAGGTGCAGATGCAAAGAATCAAGTCCATATGTTTACCTTCAGATATATATTGCTTAAACACATTTTAAGTTAACATTGATGAGCACTGAGTGAATGAGTAAGTGCAGACAGGCCTAGGCACCAATCAACAACATCTTAGCAGGAAGGAATAATGTTTACTTACAATCCCACCTTCCTCACCAGGATGGCCAGGAGATCCTCTGTAACCCATACTTCCCTGAAAAACAGGAATTTAAGAGATAAGTGACACTGTTCTCCAAGCACACTGGATCCATTTCTGTCGGATTACTCTGCACATGGAGATAGAAAACATTTCCTGAAAGTTAGATCTGGTTATGCTGAGAAGGGCAGACTCCATCAACTACATTTACACAGACACTCTGCACAGTCCTATGTACTTGACATGGCTGTGAAAAAAAATAAACAATGTTCAATATAAAATTCAGTATGTTATTTCAGGAAACTGCCTGACGGGTTAACAAAGCTCATTGGTCTCTTTGGTCAAATTAAATCTCTCCTTAGCGATTTGGAAAAGGAAGCATTATACAGAAATGAATCTTTAAGGTGAAATGAAAAATATAAGCAGTTGAAAACGTGTTAGGACAGAGATATTGCAATACCTTACAAAGACTTTTAGGAATATTGCAATTTTGTATTTGAAGTGATGCAAATGTCATACACTCAGGGCAAAAACTTGAACAGAGAGAAACTAGAACAAACAGAATTTCTAGCAATGAAAATGAACAAAAATGAGACATGAATCTGTGCTGCAAAAACATGTTTTTACAATTATAGGCTGTAAAACCCAGGCATCGTGTCTGTCTGCAAAACAACTATGTCTACATTCTGAACACAGTTTTGTCTAAGCATGTTAATGTAGACATTTTAATAACCCAGAAAGTTGTAAGAAAATCAACAAGAGCGATGGAAGAAATTAGTAAATTGGTTTATGAATAAATATTAGAAGACTGTACTTTTGCTAAGAGATAGCCAAAAATGCATTTAACTGTAACTATATAACTGAAGAGTGTGAACTACAGATATAATTTGCTTACCATGCTACAGGAGTAAATAGAAATAACGGAATGAATAGTAGTGAAATTGAGACAATATATACTAAAAACCTTAATAATGAAGCCTACTAGCATGCTGTAGAAGTGGTGTAATCTGTAATGCTTGAAATGCTTAAAAAATAGAAAATCTTAAAGTGTGTAAGTATTGGATCAGAAGAAACTCATAGAAGAGGATATCTGGAATAATAAGGGTACAAAAGGGTAAGGCTCACACCTAGTGAAGAAGGATTATTTTCTCCTCTCAGCTTGTCAGCTGGAAGTTTCTCGTTCGCAATTACTAATAAGGCTCTTGGTTAATCAGATGCAATTTTTAAATCTGTCTCCATTATCTGCTGAACTGATGCAAAAGAGTGGTTAATGATTTTTATATGTAGGAATGATTTTCATTACAAAAATACTTTTGCAATAGGAGCCAGCAGCAGAGAAATGATCATACTTCATGTTTCTCCTTCATCTGTTCTAACAGCAAAGGTCATGGGCGCATGTATGCATGCTCTGAAATACTACAAAAAATGAAAATACTCTGAAAAATGAAACAATTCTGAAGTAATGTCTATCTTAGCTCTCCTACCTTCCTTCCAGGACTTCCCTGGCCACCACGATCACCATTTTCTCCAAGGCATTTACAAACAACCTTACAGCATTTCCGTTCTGCAACAGTATCCTGAAAAATGACAAGAAACATTTCATTTATATAATCATAAAACACAGAATTATTCCCCTCCCTTTTGTTTATATCACAAAAGGACTTACAAGGTTTCTCTGTAAGATGTTTGCAATCTCTGCAAACCCAATGCTTAGAGGTTTGTTGTATTCAAAACCTCTGCCAAACTCTATTTCTCGAAGTTCAGTCAAGTTCTGTGTATTATCCAGGCCAACTAATAGAAATGCATCAAGACCTTCAACATAAGCATAGATTTAAATTAGTGAATGCCTGAAGTATATTATTTAACCAACAATATCATTGTGAATAACACCATTTCCCTAGAAGACTCATACATTTTATGGCTTCAGCACAGTACGTTAAAAGAAATGAAGCTATTGAGAAGAATGTGTAAGAGAAAAATTCAGTCCAGACTGTTACTCAGTGCCCAAACAGAAATATAAAACTGTTTTCTCCAGCAGAAGTCAGAGTTGGGTCAAACCTCTGGTCCTGCACTCATCAGTGAGAAGGGCTGCAATGAATTACCCCAGCTGCTGGAGCTGGATTCTAGAAACCAGAGCCATCCCAGGGCCTCTGCACCCCTAAGCATGTTTCTGGCATCATCTGCCAACCAGTGTGCACTGGTTCACATGGAGAAGCAGAAACTCCCTCAGTGATTTCTGAGGAATGCAATATGACCATAGAGAGAGAAGGTTATGTGGTTAAGTTGCAAGTGAGATAGTAATACATTGGGCCATTGGTAGTAGGAGCCTGGAGCATCAATGCATGACTATAATACCTTTAAAGCGAAGGGAGTCAGCTGCTTTTTGGAGATCTTCCAGTGAATCATCCAGCCCATCTGAAAATACTAACAAAATCTGTCAGGAAAGAGAACAATGCCAAGACAATTGAGAAGAGACTAAAAGTTAAGTCACTGTAAAAAGTATAGTAAACTGGCTATAAAGTGGTCAAATTGCACTACACTGTGGTGGATCTGAAACGTGCTGGAATAAATGCAGAGAAGGAAAGAGGACTGAACACAAGATGCTTTTAAGCAATCTTTTCATTTTAAAAACATGGGGATGGGGGGTAAATGTGGGGTACTAGCATGGGCATTATGTATGTTTACAAAGCTTTCATGTATATAAAGCTCTTGTTGGAACACATTTGAGTTTGTGTTGTCAAAATCCGGGAATTTGGTCCAACTCTTTTGCTGGAAAGCAAACAATAAAGAAGAAATGCAAACAACAGAGAATCCCTATCCCTGATGAGGTTTATAACTAATAATCTTTACAGATTAAGCATGTTATTGCTCAGGATCATAGGGAGATTAAATTGTGATTTCGTGTGCATTCTGAAGTCTTGTATTTTCAATTTGCACATAAACAGAATCAGAAAGGAATATTAATCCACTTGTAAAGTGCTGAGTTACACTGCATATTTATTTATAGTAGTAATGCATAAGCAGAAAGAAGCTTTGCTTGACTCTAATCTTCAACAGCAATCTAACAGAATTGGCAATTAGGAGAAAAAAGCACTGCTTTTACTTCTATGCCACACAAGTTCTCTCTACTGAGGCCCAACGCGTGCAAAATCGTATGTGGACAAGTTTCCTGATCAGAATAAAATGACACTTCAAGAAATCTTTGGGGAAAATATCAGTATTAAATATGCACCAAATTACAACCTTAATTGGTAAGCCATACCTATGCAAATGTTGTAAAAAAGCAGAACGCCAACTTCCATCTGAAAGCAGCAGAATTCATAACAATATTGCTTTCTCACTCCACATCAGATTAAAATTAACCTCTTATAAAAGTTAAAATAAGGTTCATAGAGGAAATCTCTTATGCATTCTGCAAGGGCTACCCTGTCCTTTCTCATTAGGACGGTCTTCCTGCATGGAGACCTCAGCAAGTGATAATATTCAAACAGCTACTACAGGACATGCTCTGTGCTTCACTGAGTCAGTGCCTTATTAAGAATAAACTGTCACAGCAATGACCCTGAAACCCTCCAATAACATCCAACTTTCTTTCACCTGTGTGGAAAGATACTCCATTCGCTTCAGAAGAGATTAGATCAAGCCTTCTGCTTCTCTCTTCACCTCACTTCAAGACAGATGAAATAACTGCAGTGCCTATACAGATTTTTCGGATCATGGGTCATCCCTAAGCAGAACCTAACTTTGTTATTTGAAATTATTTGACAAGTTAACTACACAAATAAACTTCTGTAAACAAATTTCTTGGACGATGTTTTCTGTGACTTCTGTTTAGAGCTACGAGTATTCTGGAGAGAGATTCAGGATCAGGATTTAGAGTTTCTGAAAGAGAAACATTCCACCAAGTAGAAAGACATTTCACTGTAGATATAAGAAGGTTTTCTGTATGAATACTCAAGATCATATGTATAAACCCAAATGTTATGGGTACTGCAGGAGTGCTCAGGGAATCAGAACCGATATATGAAGTTATATCAGGGCAAATGAAAGAACAGGAGGTTCTACATAAACATAAGGAAACTTTTTTTTACTGTGAGGTTAACTGAACACTGGCACAGGCTGGCTAGAGAGACTGGAGTCTCCATTCTTACAGATACTCAAAAGCCATCTGGACATACTCCTGGGCAGCGTGCTCTAGTTAACCTTCCTGGAATGGGGCCTTTGGACAAAGTGACCTCCAGAGGTTCCTCAACCATTCTGTGAAATTTTTTCTTGGATTCACCAATTCCTGAACTACCTTTTTGTGTCCCTGGAGTACTCAGCATCAGTCTGTAGACATCAAACTGTCTCATTTTCCAATATATATGTTCACACCATTAAGTTACCTTCACTTTAGCAGAGGTCACACTGAAGAACTTCTCCTCAAGTGCCTGTAAGTAGTCTGCATTGAGGAACGTGTCTACACTGGTCTGTGCATCTGAAAACTTCTGGATGGTCTCCTCGTTATATTCTTCAAAATCAGAGTCAAAGATGAGTTGTTTGGTCTGTGCCAATACTTGGAACTTGAATCTAATGTTGACTGGAGAGCCAGCATTACAGCTGGTATTTGGCAGCGATTTCATCTGGAGTAAAAGCTTGGGGAGGAATGCTTGCAGTTTCTGTTTCAGAAGGACCGTGGATGCTGGCTGCATGCGCCTTGAAATATCAATTGCTACAGAAAGATCTATGTCACAATCTGAAAAAAGTAGAAGAAACAGGAAACTATAAACATACACTATTTATGATCTTGTCTTTTGTCAGAAACATGTGAGTGGAACAAAATTCAATATGGTTGATTTAAAATCAAAAGTCAGAGCCAGTGAGATAGGCTTTCCCTAAAATGCCATCAGCCCACCAGTTTCAGTGGGGCTATGTGAACTTGCAGATACTAAGGTCTACATTACTGGTCACTGATCTCCAGCTGTCAAATATCCTCAAAGGACGTAATTGTGCAAATGTTTGTGAGCTTTGCTACCAACTGAGAATGTGCAACATACATTCCAATTGCAATGGGAAGCATGATGGCTGACTGTGTTTTATCACTTTGTTCCAAGACCAGATAATACATACAAATGTAGAACAGGCCGAAGAAACAAATGTGAGAGAAAGAGGCAGCCCTGCTTACATGCAATGCCATATATCCACTGTGAATAACAGCTGCTGTAAGGTGAGGGCTACCTCAGTTACGGAATTGCTTGTGAGCAATCAGTTCCTGATGATAATAGCAAATACCTCAATGTGGTTAATTCCTCCCACTTTCCCAATCATCTTGCCCTCATTGAGCAGCTAAACCACTTGTCTTATTTCTTTACTACCTTGGTGTCTTCATTTAGGTAGTTATTCTATCACCTGATGATCCCTCCCCACCCGAGGAAGAAGGGGAAAGGAGACACAGGGATTGAAATAAAAACAGACTTAATAAAATAATAAGAAACTAACATTAATACCAATATTAACATAAAATATGCAAAGTTATACCCAGCCCACATTGTAGTAGCAAGCTGTTCACTCCCAGCAGTGAATGCTAAATGACAGACACTGCAAGTGCCACAGCTTCAGCAAAAACATGACAGTCACAATGAATGGGGGAGTAGGCCTCGGGAGCAGAACTATGTGCAAGAACCTTTGGGGATGGTAACCATTAAGGAAACAGAAAGGGTCGTCCTCAGCAAACTCCCTTATTTATAGTGAGCATGATGTTTATGGTATGAAATACTCCTGTTGGCCAGCGTGGGTCAGCTGCCCTGGCTCTTGCTTCTGTACTTGGCTAACCAAAACTGCTAAAGACCTTGACCACTATGGCAACCTGCATAGCAGTGCTGGCAAAAAGCTAAAACAAAGTGTCTTATCAACTTTGTTCCCATTGAGCGCTGCAGTGTTCTCAAAAATGCAGCTTTCCTGAACAGAAAACTGATTTTATTATTCTATCCCAGCAAGGCCAGGCCACCTGATTCTTCATATGTCATGCTAGATTTTATTCTGTGCCCCTAGATGTATTATCATCCATCGTTGTACTTTGGCAAGGATGTTGGAGGCATGCAATTTTATCTGCAAAATATTAATCTCCCTAATTTTGTTCCTTCATTGACTCTGAAACACTTACCAAACAAAAGGTTGTTTTACATATTTGCTAGTTTGGGCTAGTTTCCATAGACCATTATTCCATATAAGCTTAATTACAGTTTCCTGGCTTTTCCTTCACTCATGAAAAAGATTAATGTGTTCAGCTCTTTAACCAAATAAATCCAGAAATAATTTCACCTCAGAGCGTTGTTTCAGCATTCTCACTTGCTGTACAAACTGCCCACTAGAGAGTATGATTTGCTGGTAAGAAGCATGAAAATCTTTAAATGTAAAAGGTCACATTGAGTGAGTTTTTATGGCTAAAAAAATCGGACATTCAGGCCTCAGAGAAACATAAGAAATCTGTACAACTTTTCTGTTTAGTCCACAAGAAAAAACTTATCTTAAACAGTTAAATATATCTATAAATAGATTTATGTCTACACTCCTCCCTCCCAGTCATGCTTGTTAGCCAGGTTGTGAGGCTACATATCTGATTTTGAGATTCCCAGAACACCTGTGATGCAAAGGCCATCAGCAGTTCAGGGAACAGCATTTTTCTAAATGTGAGGAATGTTTCCGATTCAATATTTCCATGAACATAAAATATATTGGATATTTCTTCCACTATGTGTTCATGTCCAGCACACACATAGTATGTTTTCACAATAAGGTTTTTTCAAGATCTGGGTCTTGTTAAGGACATAATTTGGAGGGAGTGTGAAGGGCAACCATGGACTCAGCAGTTTAGCTCTGACAACTGGTCATCCACACTGCCTACCTCTTAAAACATTCCCTGCCAACTCCCCAGTGTTAAACTGCATCACCTTAGTGTTGCAAGGGGATCTTCTTCTCCTGTTAACTTTTCATGCCTTGAATGCAGTTTATTAAATTTGAAAAATCTGGCAGTTTAAAAGAAGGTAACTGGGAATTAATAGATTTATTAGAGGAAAGAAGGTCAGCAAACATAAGAAAACAGATGACAGGATAAGATAAAACAGGCTTCACATGAAGTTGATTTGTGTTTTATGAGACAAATTTATGCAAAACTTGACAATAAATACATACATCGGTGAGACCAAAACGCTTTCCTTAACTTCGCTCTCTCTAAACAAGTATACCTGTATATATAGCAAGTTTACTGTTGCATCTCCCATTAAATCTCCCTGTTCTCTGGTCATGAAACACCAGGAGGTGCTACTGCATCATCCATGGTCACAATGTTAACATGGCAGTGCACTCCACGTCCAGAGCAGCCCTTTCTCTCTGCTTTCAGGAGCCGGGGGTTGCCCTTTCAGCTGGAGGTTTGTTCAGCTCTTGATGGGAAAAAGAGGGGGTGGTGGAGGTGCAGGCTCAGCTGTCCTCCTCTCTGAAAACCACCTGAGCAGATATAATTCACACACAGAGTAGCTTCTGTGCTTAGGAGGGAAGGCTCAGCTCTTCATTTTGGCCCCCAACACCCCAGCAAACACCAGCCAGTTTTATTGTGTTTAAGATCTCACTAGTCCAGTGTGCAGGGGAGGCAGAGTCATCTATTTGCTCAGCCGTTGTTACAGAAAGCCTTAGACAAGCATTGTCATCATCCCATTAATTCTTAAAGTAAGTTTCTGGTCACTAAGGAAATGAAACCTGGAGAGCTGGGTAGGATCATTTTCGTGGCATAACAAAGTAACAAAGAGGGTGTTATCCAACACATAAAATATCACCTATAAGTGAAAATACAGGGAAGACAACAAGGAGCAATAACGGATGTGCGCCAAGAACTGCTTCAGCACTGTCTCTTCCTGCTAACCCCATTTCCTTCAGTGGAGGAAGAGCTCAGCTTTTTGTCATTTACTACCTTTTTCATTTTGCAATTTAAACACATCTACAAGTACTATACTACATAATGGGCATGAATATGTAACTTAAAGAGCAATTGTGTATGTTTTTTGCTTCAGTCTTCCCATATGAAAAGGTGACTGATACTGCAGCACCAAGTCAGAATGAACTCAGATACAAAAACAGCATCTGACATTTAATAAAAGTTTCTACATTAATCAAAGGCAATACTGAACCTTTATTTTCCTCGGGGTTGGGAGCCTCTCAGGCTGTGTGGCATTCAAGCTACTGTTGCTATCAAGAAGATGTAGTAAGACACACCACCTTTTACTTCTTATATAGGGAAAACTTTTGGGTAGCATCTCAGCATTACTGTGGATTCACTGCTCACACCTTGGCAACACCTCCCACATACCCAGGGATGGATTTTCTCACACCCTCTCTCCACAGTGCCTCTGTGAGACTCAAGTTTTGTCAACAGTTCCTGTTGACAGTCCCACTGAAGCAGTATGGTCAGTCTACAGCATACATTAAACATGCTGTATAATTGCTATAATTCTGTACTTTTACAAATTAAACAAAGAATTCTAGTGAAACTAACCATGGGGGGGGGAAATCCTAAGAAAAGTATCTTGAGAAACTCTGTATCTGACTCTGCTTATGTAGATAAAAGTTTCATTTTCTTTCCACCAGATCTTCTGCTTATGACTGTGGGAGTGAGATCGCATGCTTTACCATTCCATTCCTCTGATACTCCATTAACCAAGGTCTTCTACATCACTACTGGAATTTAGGTTGCGTCTAAGAACTGGACCCATTTGAGCACTTCAGAATACACCTACCTTTGTAAAATCCCCATGAGGAGCAAACAGTCCCTCTGAATATCAGGGGAGGCACCCAGAACATGAACAAATTGAGTCTAATTTCACACACAGTCAATGAATGAGATATGCATATCTGGAGGGCACATGAAAGACAAATGAACCTGGACCTAAATGCATCCTTCAGTGTAACAGTTTATGTTGCAGAAGGGGATTAAAGGCAAGTGCCTAACTACTAGCACAGTCTCTAATACCTAACCTTTTCTCTTCATTGAAAAAAACCAGTGGAGGTATCCACACTGACCTCTGCAAAACCAGGAACAAAAGTTTCCTTTTTCAATTAGAACTACATTACATTTTAAACATTCATAATTGTTTTAAACACCATTTTTTTGGTTCTGATTTTAGTTTTGCTACCACATCCTTCTATCTTCCCTGCCCCTTTACCATTCAACAATAACAGTCCTTAAAGAAACAGGGAAAATTCTGCTGTTCACCATATGTATTGAAAGGGAAAATATGACGACCTTTCATTTTTGTAACTCCTAGAATGTTCGATTTCTGAACTAGGTTTTTGAGGGAATTAAAAAGTGACCAAAAGTGTAACTTAATCAAGAAATAACTCTCCGTTCAATGACATTAAAAAAAAAATGTTTTCTATAAAAGGTTCCACCAGCTTTAACGAGATGAAATTGAACGTACCTCATAGAATCTGTGAATCTGACCCCAATTTTCTTTGCCACTTGTTATCACCAGAGCGATTTGAAGAACCCCTTCTTCCTTCTACAAAGTGATACTCTAGCATAAATTGGAGGCTCTGCCCAGTTTTGGTGCCTCCTCCTTTGTAATGTAATTTCTGTATCTTCTGTAAGGTATTGTTCTTGTTATATAAGTTTTCAACAATAATTTGGTGTATGGCACATCACTGTACTGAATCATCCCAACACGGATTTTGTCTTGCCCAATATCAAAGCCACTGATGATTGTTTTC